CTGACTCTCTTATAATAAATGCTGGTGTTCCGCAAGGATCAATTCTAGCACCAACACTATTTCTACTCCATATCAACGATTTGTTGGAAGCAACTTCATGTCCAGTACACAGTTTCGCGGATGATTGTACTCTCCATACCGCCTTCTCCTCCAGGGCTCCAATACCAGCCAGGCAAATCAGAATTGAACGAGGGAGAAATGTTGACAACATAAATATGGACTTGGCAACAATTCTCGATTGGGATCCAATAACTTGGTAGATTTCAATGCAAACAAACATGCCTTTTCTCTAGAAAAGCCGATCTCACTATGCCCAACATGAGCTTGTCAGGAGAAACCATACCTTTGAAGACATCTATTTCGATGCTTGGTATTACTATCAGCAATAACCTTTCTTGGGAGAATCACGTGAGATCAATTGCTGAAAGTGCATTCCAAAAACTTGGTTTTCTGTTTCGGCCCAGGAGCTATTTCACTTGCAGTCAGCTGCTTATGATCTATAAGGCACAGATCCGACCTGTCCTAGAATACCGCTTCCATATTTGGAGTGCAGCACCCAAACATACCCTGAAACTGTTGGATTCTGCCCAAAAAAGGGCAATTCATCTCGTGTTTGATGCCTCGCTCACAAACTCACTCACTTCTCTGGAACACCGTAGAAAAGTTGTCGATCTGGCTCTATTTTATAGATATTTTCATGGACGATGCTCTTCTGATATATCAACAATTAAGGCCGGGACACACATATCCGCGCCGAGTCCGCACCGCATGACGGCCGTGTGTTGGACGACACACGGCGAGAAAATAAAATGATGCAATCTTATCAGAAAGTCCACACTTGTCCGCACCGTCATCCTTCTGATACCTCCGCATCGTGTACGCGCCGTGTCCAACTAGTTCAGTTTAATTTTTGCACGGATGCGGTGCGGGTTCACAGAGGATTATAACATGGAATCGGAAAAGCTAATAGAGGAAATTTGGAAGTTTTCAGTGTTGTACGACCAAACAAATGAAAAATACAGGAACGTCAATTACAAAGAGCGCGTGTGGAAGATAATTTCGATTTCGTCTCCAATTGAAGACCTCGGTGCAAGAACAGGGCAACTTCAATTTTTTAAAATGTTGGGGAATGGAAAAAAAAACCTTCATATTTTTGAGAAACTTGAAGAACATTATGCTAAATGGTATGAATCCTTTACGTTAGAAAAGCTGTATTTACGGCGATACTAATTTTCATTCCATTGTAGAAGCTTAAAAAGAAGTTTGCCTGTTTCTTGCCCCAATAAGACAAAATTCTGAAAATATAGTTGAACTCGTGTAATAATTTTCCTTCTTTATCAAAAATGAAATATATAACGAGAAATATTGTGAACAAATAGTATTTCGAACATAGGATGAATCGCTGACGTTTCCTGCGTCTTGATCTTCGTTAACATTGCCAGAATCTGGGTCCTCTTCATCAACAGTTATGTTTTTGGAACATATGCACTCCCCGAATCTCGAAAGGGCTCACTTTCACCTTCCGACGACATTACATTGTATTGCATGAAACAAATGATCAAACTAAACACGCCACATACGATGGAAGACGCGGGAAGGCTTGTCGCTAATAACCTCACTCCGACATCTCCCACTACACGCGTACATTTCGGTGCTAAAATCGGGCAACTCCTGGAGTTGCCCGACTCTTGCACCTCAATGGCTCATCAGGTGATTCCTTTCCCGTGTTAACTTTTTAGGATATTGTTGGATTCGTTTGATTCTTGCATCAAAAGATGCGGAAGAAAAAATTATATATGTTGAATACAATAACCCAATTTCGACATAAAATGGAGTTGCCCGGTTCTTGCACCGAGGTCCTCAATGAGTATCTTCTTCCTCTAATGCGAGTGCTACCATCCCTAACTCACTGCTACTGAATTTTTTCAACATCTTCAAGAAGGGCAAACTGAAAACTGAAATGCAACTGCATGCACGGCCGACACACGGAAATGTGTGGCCTCCCACTTATTCCTCCCTTGGCAGTCCCCGCGAGATTAACCCGTCGAATTGAAGCTATGCACCCCTTCGTGCTCACTTTGGAGACCTGCAGAACATCTCTTTCCAAAGACTCGTTCATCCAACGAACAGCGAGGCTCTGGAACATATTGCCAAGGGAGGTGTTCCCTTGGTTCTCACGATGTTCTCTGAACATTACAGGATATTCCTTTTCGTGGGAACCAGAACATAAAAAAATATATATTTTCACCAAACGCATAAAATAGTCATTACTCTTGTCCGTTGATTTCCAGACCGCGTGAGGGTATCGATCATGAATTACAGTGACCTCTTGTAGTACATCGCCCGATTCTCGATAAATTAACTTCGGCATCGGCTCTCCCAAGGTATTATTGCGACTCTTGGGTATTCGATACCGATTGAAATGTATCGATGGATTGATGGAACAACGTGCGGGCCACTCCATTTCCCACTCGCTTATTACTGACGGTCCCCAGTCAATTGACCCCGGCTCCGTGTGTTACACTTGTAGCAGTTTTCCTGTGTTGGTCAAGGGGGATTACAATATTGTTTTTTCTATAATTATGAGACCTTCCTGGAAGATGAGCATAAAATATCACATGCGAAGCTTGATAGTACTGGAAGTAAAAGTTCTTGAAAAGTGTTCCGAGATCGTTAATCTCATGATTTTCATGCAGCTTGATGACAGGTGATCAATATACTGGGTCTTTCTAAAAGGTCTGCACAAAAACTATCCACATATTACTCAGACCAAAACAATTCGATACCAGCAAACTTACCTAAGTACAGGGTGATCCCCTCCTAGCTCAGTTATTTTTCCACTGATCCCAAATTTGAAGGGTCGTTTGAAATTATGATTGATAAATTTTGTTATCACTACATCAGAAAATACACAACTTTTGGATTTTTTTGTGTTGAAACTATTGATTATTAATCAAAACGGCTTGCATGTCCCTATCTCAACTTTTGAGTTACTATCTACTGAAATTTAATAATTGGAACAGATACAGGGTGATCAGAATTCTGGATCATGAACCACCCTGTATTATATCGAAGACTGGAACCTTTGCCACGATAATACACTACACTGTTTCACCACTAACCAAACCGATTTTTTAACGCCTCGACACGTGTTTCGCTAACTATGTTAGCATCTTCAGGAGAAGATTAAAACTGATCTGAAAATCTTCTCCTGAAGATGCTAACATAGTTAGCGAAACACGTGTCGAGGCGTTAAAAAATCGGTTTGGTTAGTGGTAAAACAGTGTAGTGCACCCTGTATTATTCCAATCAAATGTCAGTAGATAGTTGATCAAAACTCAAGATATGACCTATGAGTCGTTTTGACCAATAATGAATAGTTTAGACAACAAAAAATCCTAAAATTGAAAAATCTGGATTTTGAACACCCTATATCTCTGTTACCATTCCCGCTAGACCTTCATGTGTGATGCATTGATGAAATCAGCTCTTCAGGAAGAACCTAAAAATGCAATGAAGTACAGGGTGTCCCATTTGAAAAAGTCAACTATCACCCTGTAGATCGTTTGTTCAAAGCATGATTTTCTGATGTAGGCGATAGAAAATTATGGAAAATCATTTCAGATGATTTTTCAAATTTTGAAGTCGGTTCAACAATAAGTTAGCTAAAGGGGGGGACAATTATGGTGAATCACCCTGTACGAAGTTGCTTGGCTTCATAATTTTGAATCGGCTAATGAGATTTAACTCAAATGTGTTACGTTAACATAGTTCCATTGGGCAATAAAACCCATAACATGATAATGATAAATATCATTCCATGGGCGTAGAACTTGATTTTTTCAGTGAATAAACACCTGAAACTTCTACGCCAATGGAAAGAAAGGGGGTTGACTATGAAATTTCGATTGCGTAACTTATTTTCTACAAAAAAGATACTGTTGATGAAATTTGATTATACTCTCATGGTTTCGACAAAATTTGATTTTTAGTAATTCAAAGCATCAGTCAGTACTGAAACGATTAGCAGATATTTTTCAAGAATTGTTAATTATTTCCATCATTTCCACGTATACGTATATTTTGTTTTTTGTTCGTACTGAGTAAGCCAGTTTGGTCTAGCGCCCAGACTGAGCAAATATGTACTGAGATGTATTTGCTTCTATCCATTTTCTTCGCCATATAAATCTCTCTGTTCGTGAAGATGATGGACATTTTGAACACTTTCCATGACATATCTGTTGATCGTTTCAATGTTAACTGATGTTTTCACAAATTTTGTCAAAACCATGAGATTAATCGAATTTTCTCAAATACGTTTTTTTTAGTGAACAAGGTACACAATCCAAATTTCATATTCGAACCTGTTTCTTTTCATTGGCGTAGAAGATATGGGTTTTTTCGCCCAATGAAGCTATGCCAACTTACCGAATTTGAGTAAAATCTCATGAGCCTTTTCAAGGTTATGAAGCAGAAACGATTTGATAATGGTATCTACAGAGCCGTCTGTAAAGGTTTTGGGGACACCCTGTATAAACAAAAAACTTTCATTATTCCAGAGATGATGATGTTAGTAGATGGTTCTTACTATAATGATATTTTGATTGGTTGTAATAAATGAATAACTGTTTGTTGTCAATAACCTCAAATAATGATCACTTATTAGTTATTCATGTACCATGGACGAAATACTGTCTATTATAGTCGAGTCAGCAAATTGAGGCTTACAATCAGGCAAGACAATAGACAGTTTTTCACACGTGAAATCTATCGGATTTCGTGAATAATTAATTTTACAACACCAAATGACAGTTCATGTCAACTCACTTTCCACGCGGAACAGGGTTGCCAGTTAGATTTTCATTTCATCAGTAAATACCTTGTCAAAAATTCAATAGATTTCAGTAGATCTGTTTAAGATCTTTTTCATAACCAAATCGTCACATTTAGACACACAAAAAAAACAAAAGCAACCTATGTAACGAAGTTGTTGATTTGTTTCAGGAAAACTGTCAAAACTATATCAGGATTATGGCGAAGACGGCGCAAGGTCGTCTTCTCCTGTGTGGTACGAACGCTTTCAAACCGATATGCAGAGAATACAACGTGCTCAGCAGGAATTACACGGTGGAGAAGGAGAAACCGGGTCAAGCGGTCTGTCCGTATGATCCTCATCACAATTCTACAGCCATCTATGTCGGTGAGTACCTTCGTTCAGATATTAAATTCTTCACAGCTGGATGAATATACAAAACATGCATGATTCTATCTCATTTCAATACTTGCTCAACTGATGGAAGCCAATTGAAGTAATACATTATTCATTACCCACAAACTCACCGATGAAAAGAATCATCTTTAGTATTATTAATCGTAGAATTCTTATACCGAAGAGCAAAGCACTTTATATTTCCTAGGATTGGCAAAAATAAAATGAAAATATTAATATCACCACTCAATTTTGATATTATTTTTATAAAGCCGACCCCTGATGACATAAACAAAACACTTAAGCCAACGCCATCCACTGTGCCGCCGCCTATGAACAAAATGGATGCTAGGTTGATTTCGATACCACGTCAAAGTCATGAACGACAGCTTGGGAGTTCCTGCGTATTGAGCAGAAGCGTTTTCAGGCGAGCAACTGACCCTACATTTTCGGGTTGCTGAGATATGACTACTGACACTCTAGATAGAGTATAATAAGTCGGTGGTACCTACATAATTATGGTAGGTATTCATGGTAGGTACCTATGCATGTTCGTTTCACAGTTTTTCACTGAGAACTTGGTTTTTCTGTATAGGAACTACATTTCTCCCATATTCGATATCAGGCAGACGATTTTTACTGTTTTTTCTTACGTTAGGATTTTTCAAGCGGCTTTTACAGAAAAGAAAATTGAAATTACCTACATAAACAATTGATAGAATTTCTGAATGACAAATCACCTTCAGTGTTCAGTGTCTCAGAATTCGAATTATTCAATTCATCCTTTATTTCTTTATCCATTCCTCCCCACTCACAATTCTTTGAGAAAAATCGACAATAGCAAGGAAAAATCAGCATTCACAAAGTTATTCATTATACAAGGGAATAAGTATTAGATCTTAGCTCGAAAAAAAACCGAGAACTAATATCTAATATTTTTCCCGTGTATAATACACTATTTTTTTCTGTGACACGAAAAACAATATTGAAAAGGTATTATAATCATGAAGTGAATTCATAAAATTATCCATGTGAAATTTTTCTCAACTGGTAGACAGAGACAATTACACTTGCGTTGGAGGCATCTTTGCTGTGATTTGATTCTAAACAATTACGAAGTCAGTGATTGTTTAGTAATTTACGTAACCGCGAAGTGGAATGGAAGATAAAAAGCAGTTGCAGTTCTTTCTCGGAGAGCCATCAACATCAACCTAGATATCCGGGAGAAAGTACGAAATTTTTTTCCGTGGAAAAAAGTTATTTTAAGAAAATTGACATTTTGTAACCTGTCGATAGAGATGAAATGTCAACAAACTCTTTTCCCGTCACAGAAAATAGTTATTCATACACCAAGGTAGTGAAGAATACCAATATTACCCAGAGACTTCATCCAAGGAGTATTCTGCATGAAACTGGCTGTATATATGCTATATTTATTGTATCTTATACATTGGGTTTCAAGTTGATGCCCCATACATGATGACGTAATTACAACAATATAATCACAAAACTTCGTGATAATAATATTATGCAATACAATTTTATCGCGACTATCTGAAATAATGAGCCTTTTGGCAACCATATATTATATTGCGCCGTTCGAGCATATAACAGTACATAAGTCATGGTGTTTAGATCTCGCAAACGTCTGTACAACATTTTTATGACCTCTTTGTGCTACTATCAAAGAGTGAAAATTTCAAAGTATCATCAAATAACTGAAGTTATTCATATGAGAAAAAGAGATACTTCTTTGATATTGCATCAACTCCAAGGACACTTACAATAATGAGAGAAAATCAACAGCACGAAACAAACCATCATAATATTACCATTAAAGACTTAAACTATGGTCTATGTTTGCATAGAGAGTCAGTCACATCTCGAGTCACATTAGGATACATTGAAACTCAATCTAAGGACTTTTTCAGAATTTCTTCCTATTTCGCGATAAAAGACCAAAGAAAAATAACTCGATTCAAACGTGATACACACGCAAAATCATCTCTACATTATGCATATTTCAATTTAGCCTACCGAAATGGCACGCCTAGCACTTCACATTAACCGCTCTTTTTACTTTGTATTCGTGCCCTCTTAGATAGATTTGATGGCGGCATCTTTAAAAATTCATTCAATTAACGATCCGATGAAAAAGTTTACAGAGAGAGCTTTTTGAAATTGAATGAGCAGAGCTCGCAGAGAAGCGGGAGGTAGAGATCGTAGATGGATTCATTTAATCAGGAAGTCATGTTAGCGATTGAAGAAATGTGGAAAGGAATTCCAATTATGTGCGGTATTAGGAGGGCTCCACTTATTCATTTCATAATTAGGCACTGGCGTTGCTACCTAGGGGCTCGGAAAGGCAGTCCCCGGGGCCTTCAACCTCAGGGGGCCCTCCTCGAATCCTAATACCAGAAAATCTCCATCGAACTAAATTATTGAAAATCTGGAAATTTCTTCTATTTTCAAAATGGATATGACAGGTTGCAACCCGATTTCAATCATGGCAACTCAGTAGAGAGGAATTCGAAAGTTGTACCTAGGGATCAACAACCGAAATTTTTCTTGCCTTCGAAGTAAACACTCGAAATACTCGCGAAGTCTACCGCTACCGCAATTGGTCAAAAAGTTTATTTCACGAATCCCATTATAGCCGATATTTTCTATATAATACAAAATATCTTCTCTACCCTTGAAAGTCTCTACTTATGTAGAATTCGCCGCTTCAAAAAAGTCTTTGAATCTTCGACCGAAATGCGGCTTTTCGCCGGTTCGCCCTTTTGCCGACAAACGTTTCACCTCGCACCTGTGACATCAACTGATGTTTTTATTTATCATTTCGGAGAGGAGGATTCACGGACATCGTGCTATACTTCCTTACTGGAATGCTAAAATTATCTTATAATTCCCATTCGATAATATAAAATAATGAATGGATATTGTGGACAGTATTAAAGTTCCCAAGGAATAGGATGAAGAAACAGAAATGATGAAAAATGATATAGATAGCTGAATGGCTGAAGTACAAACGTAAATGTGTCCTACTTTTTGAATCACACTGGTAAAATCTCAAAAACGCAAAATAAGCCTGTATTCTAATATTGAAACACAGTTTTCTGCATTCTCCGGTGAGGACGCTAGGAATCGGTGTCGAAATGTTGGAAAACATGGGATCGCGAGCCCCCACTTCTCCCCCTCTAAAAATTTTTTTTTCCTGAAACAAAAAATACTGGGCTCTTCGCAAAGGATGAACGGATGTTTCTCTGGAAGCGGATTTTGAGTTTTTGTCTTAGTTTTCTCAAAAAAATAATCTGAATATACTCGAAAAATGCAATGTTCATGATTTTTTGCAGAATATCGGTGAATTCTTTCGAAATTCTACTTCTAGAGAAACCTAGATATTTCAATTCTTCATCTCACCATATTTTTTGTTTTCCGAAAAAATCAATATTGAACAATGAAAAGTGGGGGCGGAGAAATCGTGTTTTCATTGCACTGATGCATGGTGTATCCTCCTCTTGATGATCAAACTAATTTTGAACGCAATCATATCTTCCGCACATTACGGTTGTCTTAAATTTTTTTTTTCCATATGAATACCCCCATAGAATTTTTCTGCCTGTATTGCAGAGATCAATTTATTCTCATCGTCTTCTTTTCTTCTTCTTCGTTCTTTTCTTTTCAGACTCCTTGCTCCTTTCTTTTATCATAACTTTTTTCATTTTCTTCACCAAACTTCATTTCTTCTTCTTTTTTCATTCACAAATCTTCTCTCTCAGGTCTTTCTGTCATACACCAGTCATGTTTTATGATGTTCGTTACTTTATGTGTTAGATTGACAGCTTGTCACGTCAGTTTTTATTATTCCATTCTCTGAATCAATTTTTTCCAGTCAACATGTGACGATTTGAACTTTAAAACTCAGTTTTTCAATGTTCAACCTCATCAGGGCCAGATTTTTCTGGCTCTTCGGCCGCTTCAAACTTACTTTCACCTGACTCACCTTGATGATCAACCCAATGATGTTTCACTCTTTATGTTTCATTGTTTCTTTATAAGCTTTGTTTTTCCTCCAACAATCAATTTTTACAATTCAACATTCATCATATATTCTAGATATTGCAAGTTGATGATGGCCGTTGTGCCGAAACAGGTTACTGTTTAATTGACTTATTTTCAAATAAAGTGTGGTCGACTGACTCTGAGTATTTTCTTTTTAATTGATAACTATTGATACATAGACCAAGGACGGATTGTTTAAACCAGAATATGGCGATAGGACCAAATATGCCTCTATAAAATATTGTTGTGGAAAATATACAGGGCGTTACAATCGAAAATCTATTGACTATAAATTCGCACCACAAGAAATGTAATTCACCAGTAACAATTATCTGACAGTCCAAAGCACACTCTCCATAAATGAAATATTTGAAATCCCCTACCGAGACTTTGAACTGTTCAATTGCGTTTTTCTCGAAAAAGGATGAAAATATCGTTTTTGAACAGGTGTACCAATATATATTACGTACGTAGTAATGATGTTTATGTCATATTTTATAATCGAAATCACTGAAAACTTTCGACAAAAAAGTTATCAGTCGATTCACACATCAGGAATCATCAACCTTCAGAATTATACATGAAATAATATTCCTTGTATGAAATTATGCATCTTTGCTGAATTTGATAACAATTCATAAATATACAGTGAAATTATAATCAAAAAACGAAAAAAATATTCAGCTTCAACGCCCACAGCAATATTTCACTAAGGCATATTCGGTCCTATCGCCATATTTTGGTCCAACCAATCCGCTCTCAGTCCATATCCCAGTAGTAATGACTCACCCTGTATAGGTACCTGGTCTGACCAGGTTTATTCCTATTATTCCGATTCTGCAAATTTTGAGTTTCCAATAAAACTTATTACGATACTGGATTTTCTAAACTGATATCGAGTTGCATGTTACTATTAATCGAATATG